ACACTGGAAGAAATAGTGATGTTATATCTTTGGACTCAGAGAAAGCTGGGTGACATACCAATTTGACAGTTTTTCTCTGTCTTAGTAATTTGCAATAATTATATGAACCTCAATTAAATTATTGATGAAATTAGGTAATATTATATTTTGTAAAGATATAGAACACTTTGAACAATGCATGTAAATTTTAATGTGCCATATTGCATAACATAAACTTGTGTCAGATATATTTTTTCTCTTTACCACACTTCTTTTTGTCTTTCCATATGCTTACATGCTTTTGGATAGCCACACTGGTCTTTTTTACATTCTTCAACATTCCCAAAACACCTCAATTCTAGTGCTGTTTTTCTAGTACATTAAATGTAATATCTGTAGCCATAAAGGCTATCATAAAGAAAACAAACAACATCAGGTGGTGGTCAGGATGTAGAGGAAAAAGTAATCCTTATACACTGTGTATGAGAATATAAACTAGTAAAAGTACTATGGAAATCAGTGCAAAAATTCCTCCAAAAGCTAAAAGTAAAACAACCATATTATCCAGGTCTACCATTCATGATCATAAATCTAAAAGATTGTAGGTCAGCATAAAACTGAGGTATCTGTGTTTATGTGTTTATTAATGCCCTACTCACAATACTCAAACTATGGGATCAGCTCAGATGTCCATCAAGTGAAAAATAACTAAAGACAATGTGATATATATATATATATATATATATATATATATATATATACATACACACACACAATGGAGATTAGATAGATACACAGACAGACAATGGAGACTATTGAGCTACAAAGAAGAATAAAATTATGTCATGTTCAGGAAAATTAACAGAACTGGAGATTTTTCATGCTTAGTGAAATAATTCAGATTCAGAAGGACAAATATCTCAACTTCTTTTTCATATGCAAAAATTAGATGTTAAAAAGCTGAACAACAGGAGTGTAAAATTGGGGCTGTTGGGTGATAGGAATTGGAGTGATGGGTGATGGGAGTGGGTGAAAGCAGAGAGCAAAGGGTGTGTATACAATCAATTTATTTTATACATAGGTATGACAATAGAATTATGAAACTTGTTAAAATCATTTTAAAAAGGGGAAAAAATGAGAAAGAGTAAGAGGGGGTGAATTTAATAAAAAATATTATTAGTATGTGTAGAAATATTGAAATAAATTCCCTTTGTATAATTACATAAAATAATAATAAAAAGAAAGAAATGGACTGTATATACATACGTATAGCTTCTAACAAATTAGCAATGATCTTTGGAATCTTGTTATTCAAATAATCTTTATATAACAAGTTACATATACCTTCCACAAAAACGATAAATGGAACTAAAACTTTTGCAGTAAAACAAGTTATATAAATAGGGATAAATTCAGAGTTGAGGATGTAAATGTAGCCATATATAAATCCCTGAGTTGTATCCTAGTCTGTGTTGGATAGAGATGTATCCAACTCTCTCTTTCTATGGTTTGATGAAAGGTAAGATTAAATAAGATTTGGTAAGCAGTGGTGTATATAGACGTGAACACCAACAAAACACTGGGTTTTGTTTAAATGCTGGAATAATTCATATGCTATCAATCCCTGGGAGCAAGTGTTGAACTTTGAAACATACATCTCCCGCTTATATTTCTTACTATCCCTTTACACCACTTAATTACATTCCAAAAGCTTCAGTATTCCTATCTGCATAATGGAAAATATTGCTTAAGTCAATATATACATAATGTTTGTTAAAAATAGGGCCATAAACCATCAATAATCTCTCAATAAATTCTAGTTTCATTATATTTTCCTATAGGCTTTTGTTCAAACCAGATTATACTATAAAATTTAATTTCTGAATCTTTGAATGCTGTATTTATGTCTAAATCTATGCAGTTGTATACAATGGAGAAGCAGAAAATAACTGGCTATTGGTGTGTGAAGATGAAAAGGAAGCTAAACCACCTGTGAATGTCTTTATCTATATATAGGTTGATAAAGAAATAAATAGATGATACAGAGATAGGGTGATTTTGGGTAAGACTAGCATTTGAACTCAGGGCTTGGGCTTGCAAGCAAGGGCTCTACTGTTTCAGCTACACCTTTACCCCATTTTGCTCTGGTTATTTTGGAGATGATATCTAAGGGACCATTTTCCCTGGCTGCCCTAGGTCCACATCATCCCAATCTCAGATTCCCAAGTAGTTAGTATTTCAGATGTAAGCCATTAGCAATGACTCACTTGTGCATGTTAAGTAAATACAAAAAAACCAGAATGATAAACAGAATAAAAGCTTTGCTATATTTTCATGGTTGCATTCCTCTGATTTTTCTTATCTAAAAATTGTTTGATATATTTTCTTCTTCCATGAACAGTACGTATACAAAACGAGGTTCGTTATTCTATTTTTCCTTTTGTGCTGATGCTCATTTCACAGCTATCTGTTCCACCTATGCTCTGCTCTGGTATCAAGAAACTGCAAGGGATTGGTTGTATCAATCTACATAGTGGCAAAAAGATAATATATAATAAATATCTTCCTTTGGTTTTCTTGGTCATTCATCATCTCAGATTGGATGAACTCTTGTCTAGTACTATTGAAGACTGCATTATCCCCCTTCTGATCTTCAAAAAACTGAAAAGGCACAAAGCAGGCAGCTTTCCAAATTGCTCGATGTGGCTTTGGCATTTTGGTGCCTGAGGGAAAATAGTGCCCGAGGCAGTCACCCTAAAAGTGGAATACAAATTCTCAGGGATACCAGGGACATTGCCACCATCAGTGTCTTGGTAGCATTTGCCCAGGATCTATTTAGAAATGCCTGTGAGAATATAACTTAGAGCTTTCAAATACATATTAATTATTGCATTGACACTTAAGTTAGTTTATATTCTGGTCTTCCTAGACCAGTTCCTGTAGTCACTGGCATAAAGTAGATAACTCTTGGTATACAAAATACCAGTTAGTTTTTTAAGGAATTTTTATTCTTATTCTGAGCTCATGTAAAAATGTCAAATAGCTGTTCAAAACACTCATGTGTTTTTCTGATATATTTACCCCTTACATTGTCAATGGCTTGTATTTTACTTCCATGCAATCTGTAGAAAGTTTGACATGTGGAGATGGTCAAAATACTTTGAGAACTAGTGTGGGTGTTTTTGAATGTGTGATTTGTAACTCTGCACTTTATTTAAAGTTTTCATGCAGGAAACTTGGTGAGGCGAGTATCTGAGAGACAACTACTTCTTAATGCAGCTTCAATCCCACCTGGTCTTCACTCAGACCTGCAGGTGAGAAACCTGGGTTTGTGTAGGTTCTCACCAACTATGTGCTCAGTAAGTTATGTTCTGTTTATTTTCCCTCTGCATCGTTTCATTCAAAACACATTCCTTGTAGCATAAGGCCATTTTGTTACTATAAATTGTTTTAGGATTTAATTTATTTCGGTGCATGATTTTATGCAGAATTTCACTTAAGAACAGTAGCATTAGAGACATTTTTAAGTTAGTGATGATTTTCCTTATGTCCTGCTGTGCGGCTTGTGTGCATTTCTCCATATTCCCATCAAGAAACAGCTCAGCTTCTGCTGGACTATCTACACAATGAATAATTTCTTGTTTCTTAAAGTGCTGGCCATCTCGTAATAGACCAGTTTCATCTGAACTAAGGCAAGATCACGTCATGTCACATTCTGATATATAAAGAAAATTTAAATTTATGGTCGATACCATTTTAAATATAATAGTACCAACTATGTATTCAGCACAATTCCATGGGTATGCAGAATTTTTATTCAATATTAACGAATGGATAAAGTAGTCATTTGTACATCTCAAACCATTCCACCAGCCTTTTCTGTGTTCAAGATAGGGTCTCGCAAAGTATTTTCCCAGGCTGTCTTCTAGCCTCAATCCTTCTGATCTCTGCCTCCTGTGTAGTTATAATTACAGGCATGAGACACTAGTGCCCAGCTTGGCTATATCTTTTAAAGGGCAAGTAAGTAAAAAGCAAACAAACAAAATAGAGACTAATTTTAAGAAATGCCTTTAAAATGAACAATCTATTAGTAGAGATTTAATTGCATTTACTGACAGAATGTCAAAATTGAAATTTACCTGATCACATTCATGAAAATCATGTTATGGTAACTTTTATTTATGTCTGTCTTCATTGGATTGAGTTATAGAGTACATGACAGTTTCTTTAGTTGTTAAACTACTCAAAGAACAAAACATATAAGGAGAATGACTGTGTTGTAGTAATGTATGAAAATAGGTATTTCACATGATCTCATAAGTGCTCATTGCATTTTCAAATTAGCAAATGCTCTCTTCATGTTACAGATAAGGAATTGGTGCCTAGAAAGCTTAAGGACTAGGTCAGGAATCACATCAGGTCAGTCTATTTCTTCAAAGTTTCTAACCTTCTGTTACCACTGTTCCAAACACTTTTTTCAGTGGTTGCCTAATATTACTAATTCCATCATTATGATTTTATTTTTCTTTAGAATTTTGTTTACTATTACTATCATCAAGAAAATATTATTTATTTTTATTTTTATAATTCTTGATTTCTGTTTTTCCTTTTGAATTGATGCCAGTAGGAAAAATACACCACTTAAAATGTTTTCAAAAAGTTTTCATGTCATAGGAAAATAAAGCCTTCATTGCTTTTTAATTATACAAATTATTGCAATTTTTAAAATGAATTTTCAGAATAAATATTTTAAATCATTACAAGTAAAATGGGATAGCATACATGATTATTCTAACTAAAATTTAAAAATTTGTACAAAATACATGTATAAATTGAGAGATAGTAAATAAGAAATAGAAACTTTTCCCTACATCAAGAAAAATTAAGATTATGATTTTACATGTTAATTTAAATATGTAATAATTTATATTATGATGATCAGATTTCCAATTTTTCACTTAAATTTAAGTTTTCTTTCTTTCAGACCTTTATTTCTATAAATATACACCCAAGTTCATTGCATGGAAAACCAGCGAAACATCTCTGAATTCATTCTTCTAGGACTTTCTGATGACAAGGATGTGCAAAGATTTTGCTTTGTGCTCTTATCATTCTGTTTTGTTGCTTTGTTGATAGGAAATATTCTGATTCTTATTTCAATTCTGCACAGCAATCTTTTTCACCAACCAATGTACTATTTCCTTTGCCACTTGTCCTTTATGGACATCTGCTATACCTCTACTGTTACACCCAAATTGATTGGCAGCATGGTGGAGGGAACCAAAACCATTTCCTATGGTTACTGCATGTTACAGGTCTTTACCATGCACTTCTTTGGTGGCGTTGAGATCTTCATCATCACCGCCATGGCCTATGATCGTTATGTAGCCATTTGCAAGCCTCTCCACTACTTGGTTATCATGAACAGGACAAAATGCAATCTCCTAGTTTTAGCTGCTTGGGTTGGTGGGTCTGCCCATTCCTTTCCTCAATTATGTATGATAATCTGGTTGCCCTTCTGTGGCCCGAAGGAAATTGATCACTACTTTTGTGATATTTTTCCTTTGCTAAAAATTGCCTGTACTGATACCTACCTCAGTGGTGTCCTTGTGGTTGCCAATTCAGGAATTGTCTCATTAGTGACCTTTATCATTTTATTTATATCCTATGTCATTATATTACTCACTTTAAGAAATCAGTCAGCTGAAGGAAGACGAAAAGCCCTGTCCACCTGTGGGTCTCATATCACTGTGGTGGTCTTATTCTTTGGTCCTGCAATCTGTTCTTACCTTAGACCCCCTACAACTTTCCCTGAGGATAAAGTGATTGCCCTATTTTACACCATCATTGCTCCTATGTTCAACCCCTTAATCTATACACTGAGAAATACAGAGATGAAGAATGCCATGAGAAAAGTTTGGTGTCAAGGTTTATTCTCAATGGAAGCATATAGTTAACCTGAAGAAGTTTACTAGTTATGCAGTTCAAAAGGGAAAAGACTAGATATGAGTTAAATAGAAACTATGTCATTGATCTAATATATTTTAATGTTTTTAATGAAATGAATAAAAATAATAGGACTTACAAATTTATAGAAGAGAGTAATCAAAAATTAATGCAGACTGAACAAAAAAGTTGGAATGTCAATTTTGTAGAATATTGAAATGGTGCAATTAGTATTAACTGAATAGAATAAATCCAAACCAAAGCAAGATGGTATTTTGAGCAGTAATACAAACAGTGTAAGTATTTTAATGTTAATTTTATTAAAAATTTTGGACTTTCAAGGCTGACTACAAAATTGTACATTTTTTCGAGTAGATATGAATTTGAAATTTATAAATGAAATTCTACTTTGAAATTTTGATAGGATACTCACAAATACATAACTTGTTTTTTTCAAAAATCAGTTGTGGAAAAAAGAAATCAGTACAGTAGAACATGCTACTCCTGATTTCCCACTAAAAGAATGTAAATAACTAGATTTAAAAAAATGATGGTCAATAACTGAGTGATGAAAGTAAATCACTAAATTCTGCTCAGCATTCTAAATTTAAGATCATTTAACATAAAACCTATGGAACTGAATTATAAAATGTGCTATTCCACTCCAATGTGCATAACGGTGATAAGTAAATGGCTAGTCAATGTATCTAATCCAAAGACATTCCTTGCTACCATGAGAAAGTACCAAAGGCAAAATAAAATGTTATAGCAACAAAGAAAGAGACCTAAAATCAAGTTACATTGTGATCGCATGACACTTAAGATATCCTTCCAATAATTCCAAATTAGAAGCAAAAATGATGTCTGTTGTCAGTTGACTGGAAACAGAATTAAAAAGAAAACACTGATATATATATATATATATATATATATATATAGGCAATGGATTATTATTTAATGCTAACAGACAATCAGATTCCAAGACATGAAAAGGTGTGGAAAAACTTAAATAAATACTACATCGTGAAAGAAAGCATCTGAAAGGGCCATGTATGTGTGCAGTAGATTACATATTTAAAATCTCTGTACCAACACTAACTTTGATGTGAACTGAAATTGCTCTAAAAATAAAATTCATCAGTTTAAAAATCATACAGCAAATGATGACTAAGGAAATCATTCCATTGCTATAAAGTAGATACTTAGAGGGATTTTCTATTAAAACCAGAAAAAAACCTCAAATCAGAGTTTTTTTGCCTGCTAGAGTACATAAAAATGATTTTCTTGGACTTAGAGGTGTGGCTGAAGTTGTACATAGCAACTTCATAGCAAGTGTGAGGGTAATCAACCAATAATATGTAAATGTTACTATGAAACAGAAGTAAAATCTACACAAATATACTACAAGTTACTCTTATATATATATGTATATATGTATGTGTATACATATAAATAAATAAATATATATACACATATATATGTGTATATACAAATATATATATAAACTGATTTTATGAATATTTGTAAACTTTTTATGCACTAACATTCTAATGTTTAGTTTTTGAAAAATGGAGAGAAAATGTCACTAGGTCCTATTTCAGATGAATGGTATAAAATATTTAAAATGCTAGAGGTGTACCTAGAACATAGCAAACACTAAGTATTAGGTATTATAATTCTTTTTCTTTTCGGTATGTGTAATGTCTCAATAGTAACCAATTTAATATGAATTCTATTAATGTAATTTTTTCTTCTGACTTTTCAGTGTACTTTTCTTTGTTCTTCATTTTATTATATATTGTGTATCTACCAACTGCATAATGTTAAGAGGAAAACAAAAACCAAAGAAAAAAGAATTGGTGCTGATGATTTACTAATTACCAGAGAATTTACCCTGTGCAGTCACTGATAATTAATAATTGAAATACTCATATTGAAAAGAGAGGAAAGCAGCATTAGGCAATTCATTATCATGTCCCAGATCAAATGGTAAGACCTCCTCTCTGAATCTGAAATTCATACATGAACACCAAGGTGCTGCTGTTGCCTGTCTGAAGAAATACCTTGAAGAAATTAAATAAGAATTAAAAATTTTGCTTTTCAAATTTAAATGTTAATGATGAGATTAATGTCAGTGTTTTAGGGAGGTTGAAGAAGATAAAGATCTCTACAATTTTAAAAAGCCAAGGAAAGCTTCCTGAAGGTGAAAGAGTAAATGATGGATTTTGAGCATGAGTGTAATGAAAGATGATTTTTGGAGTTAATACAGCATGGGAAAACATATGATTTACAAGCAGGAAGAGAGCAATTTTAATTTTAATAAAGATTCAATATTTCCATCACACTAAGGAAGCAAGCCTGGGTGAGGTGTTAGGATATTTGACTCAGGACGGGAGGCAGGATGGAAAACATCTTAGAGATAACATAAATTCCATTTCTGTGTAAATGAGGCATGGGAAAAATAGACCAGTACACACACACACACACATCTTTGAATTACACTTTAAAATCAAGTAACCAACCATTAGCCGAACCTCTGGAGTTCTTAAAGAAAATCCTGCAATTCGTACATTTTAAGAATAGGAAATATTGGGCTCTTGGCATGACTTTACAGAGTACCAGCCTAGCAAGCATGACGTCTTGAGCTCAAACTCCAGGACTGCCAAAAAAAAAGAACAGAAAATGTAAAGATGGGAGTAGAACTGCGTTCCATGACATATAAATTAATATAACAAAGTATACAAAGAACACTAAAGTAGTAGAAACAAAGAAAAGAGTAATTGAATTATTTGCCAGTTAAATAGGTATAGAATCTTGCTATCATGAAAATGAAAGAAAATGGTAGAAAGTGGGAGAGAAAGATATGTTCAAACCATTTTGGCTGCTAAGTAATGGAACTATTTCGAGCATTTTTTTTTTTTTTCCTGGAGGGTAGGGGGTGCAATACTGATTTTCAAACTCAGGTCTTCATGCTTGCTTGGCAGGTGCTCCAATTTTTGAACTATGCCCTCAGCACTTTCTGACTGGTTATTTTGGAAATCACATCTCAGTTTTTGCCAACATAAGCCTGGACCAGGGCCCTTTTCTTTTAGGTTTTTCACCATGGGTAGAATGACATTAACCCCCACAGTAGCCAGCCAGTGGTTAAGATGGAGTCTCGCCACCATTTTGCCTGGACTGCCTTTGAATCATCATCCTCCCAATTTCCACATACCAAGTAACTTGAGCTACCAGCATCTGACCCTGGGTGTGCTTTATAATATGTTCATCCTTGTAAATATGTATGTGTACTAAGTATAGCTAAGTATGTACCTCAGAGGAATAGTGCTTTCCTGGCATATTTGAAGGGTTGTGTTCAATTGCCAGCACCAAAAAAAGAGAGAAAATATCATGTTATACTTTAGGGGCTGTATGAGAAAAATGTTATTTTCCTAAGACACTTACAATGGACCCAAGGTATGTTCCTAACCATAAATAAAAGATTATCAAACTAATTGAAAATGAATGTATTAATAATGTAAACTAAGATTATTTATAAACACAACTCAAAATGCTTTTCAGACTATAGATTACTTTAAAAATGTGGTATTCTGAACAAAGTATTCCTTTACAATATTTAGCATCATCATTATACCAAAATGAATTACTTAGTCACATTTAAAAAGAAGAGAAAATAATGAAATAATTTATGAACACATGTTGTCATTCATTTATCTAAAAGTAGTTGGAGTTGTAATTGTGTTAGGTGCCATTTATGACTTTAGATCTTGGTATATCTTCCTCTTGTAAACATCATTCCTTTCTCAACTTCATGTGCTTAATGACTTATATTTTTAATCTAAATCAAAAGAATATTGTAACCACTTACGTTTTATATGCTATTATGTTATTTCTTTTTATTTCTACAATATCAATAAATATGTAGTGCTTTTCAACCCAAGACCAGTACTTGTATGAGGGTGCAAAAAATTTACTTAGCAAGATATAATGTTTCTTCTTAATCATTTTTTATTATTGTTTTACTGTGGATAGATTGTGATATTAATCAAAGTTCTTACAAAATATCATATTTGATGTCACCCCCTCCAATCATTCTCCTTTGTCCCCTTTTCCCATTTCCTGGAATAGTTTCAACAGGTCTCATTTTTCAGTTTTCTTACATGTGTACACAATATTTCTACCACATTTGTCCTTCTACACCTTTTTCTTATGTCCCCCAGATAGGATCTGTTTTACATTGCTGTTCTTTGTTCTGGAAAAAAAAAAATCCTTATTTGTTTAAGATAGGTAAAGAGGGTGTTTCATTATGACATTTCCATGTATTAATATGTATTATAACACAAATTGGTTCATTTGCATTATTTTCCTCCTTTTTACCTAATCCCTTTATTATGGTGATTTCAACAGGTTTAAAAAAATCTGTATTCATTCTTGTATAGAAAGTGCATCACTCATATTCACCTTCTTAGCTTCCTTCTTTTACCTTTTCTCTCCTGTTAATTCTCTCCCCTTAGTGTAACTTGTTTTTCATAATATGGCTTGTATTTGTATTAAGAGTATATTCCACATATGAGAGAAATTTGTATTCCTAGTAAATGCTATATTCAGAGAGTCTTTGGCTTTCTGAACCTGGCTAACTTCATAAGATAATGTTCTCCAGTTCCATCCATTTACTTGCAAATGACAAAATTTCATTTTTCTTTATGACTGAATAAAATTTCATTTTGTATATATATTGTAAACATAAAAATATATGTTATATAATTCTAAACATATATATATATATATATATATATATATAATAAATTTGTCTGATCACCTCCACTGGCTCCCTCCTTGACTCCTCCCTGCCTCACTTAAAGAAATTGCAAGAGGTTTCTTTGTTCTCTTTCCTATAAGCGTGAAATCCATCAACCATATTCCCTCACCTTAATCTCCTTTGCTCACCTTTCCTCTCCCACAAGTACTTCCCCACACTGTCCCTATTTAACAGTGGTGAATTTTGTTGTTA